GTAATCATCTTCTTTGGCCTGTCCAATGCATAGGTAACCGTCTTCTTTGGCCTGTCCAAGGAAACTCAAACCTGCAGAGGGCGGGCATGCATCCCATCCCCCACCTCCTACGCAGGCAGCCAGTGGGGCGTGCCCCCCCAGCGGGAGGCCTGCGGGAGATGCGCCCCCCCCAGCGCGGGTGGCCGTTGGGGGCGCGCCCCCCCACCCTGCCGCACGGGCGCTCGGCGCGTGTGCAGCCCCTCTTGTGCAGGCGGCCGGCGGGCGCCCGCTTCCCCCACAGCCACCATCCTGGCTCCAAGAATTCTCTCCAGACCAAGTCCAGTCCACCTGCGGCAGTGTGGTGGCTTCACTGTACCAGTCTTGAGGAGGGCCGGTGCCCAGCATCCATCCTGGGTGAGGGAATCCATTCGTTCAGGCTGTGGAAGCCTCATGGAGCTGCAGTGGATGTTTGGGCCCAGCGGGCTCTGCGCGGTGTGGGCGGGGGGTGTTGGGAGCCATGAGACTCACCCATTTCTCCTTGGGAACCCTTGAATTCCTGTTGTTGAGCCTCGATCTTCACTAAGGGCCAGTCATCAACTGTTTAAATGTTCAATTATCAATAAGCCGAAGTCTGTGGAAGGCCATAATGGCCCTGCTTTAAGTGGTTCGCTGCTCCCGCAGCTCACCACGCTGTCTCTGCCTCTGCCGCCATCTTGGATCTCCTATATGCAGTTTTAAAAGCAGCACTTGACCAAGGGTAATGCTCCCAAGACCAGAAGGGGTAGGATGAGAGGATTAATTGGAATGAGAATTAAGAGGAGAAAGTGAGAAAAGTGAATTACATTGTGAGTATTGTAATTGTTGTTAAGTGCTTCCTAGTTTCAATGCTTAAGGATGCTCTGGGCAAGATATTTAATTATTCCAGAAACATTAAAAGTATGTGGAAGGAGTATACAGACTCATTAGACCAAAAAGAATTGGCTTATACAGAAGAATTTCAAGAAACAACATATGCACATGAGGCAATGGTGATGAAGGAGGAAGTGCAGGCTGCTCTGAAGGTCGTGGCAAAAAATAAAGCCCCAGCAATTGATGGAATACCAATTGACGTACTTCAGTAAACACATGCTGCCCTGCATGTGCTCACCAAGTTGTGCCAAGAAATCTGGAGGACAACTACTTGGCCAACTGACTGGAAGAGATCCATATTTATTCCCATTCCAAAAAAGGTGACCCAACAGATTGTGGAAATTATAGAACAGTATCACTAATATCACACACTAGAAAAATCCTGTTGAAGATCATCCAGAAGAGACTTGAAAAGTACATTGACAGAGAACTACCAGAAATATAGGCTGAGTTTAGAAGAAGTCATGGCACTAGGGACATTATTGCCAATGTCAGATGGATCTTGGCAGAAAGCACAGAGTTCCAGAAGAATGCCTATCTGTGTTTTATTGACTATGCAGAGGCATTTGACTGTGTGGATCACAATAAATTGTGGCTAACCTCGAGGAAAATGGGAATCTCAGAGCACTTGATGGTGCTTATACAAATCCTATATTTGGACCAAGAAGCAGTCCTCAGAACAGAGCAAGAAAACACTACATGGCTCAAAATCAGGAAAGGATAGCATCAGGAATGCATCCTGTCCCTGTATATTTTCAATCTGTATGCAGAACAGATCATTCAGGAAGCAGGGCTTTATGAGCAGGAGTGTGGCATCGGGGTTGGAGGAAGACTCATTAACAACCTGCTATATGCAGATGACACAACCTTGCTTGCTGAAATTGAGGAGGACCGGAAGCACTTGCTGCAAAAGGTCAAGGACTGTAGTATTCAATATGGATTGAAGCTCAACATCAAGAAGACAAAGATTCTCACTACTGGGCTAAATGGCAGCACCATATTAGATGGAGAAGTTAACAAACATGGTTGTTAATAATTACAACTTGCTTGGATCCACAATCAACACTCTTTAACACCAGCAGTCAAGAAATCAAAAGACTAATAGCCCTGGGGAAAAATCTGCTGTCATGGACTCTCCAGAGTGCTAAAGAGCAACGATGTCAGACTAGATACAAAGATGCACCTAATCCAGGCCTTGGTCTTCTCAATTACTTGTTATGCTTCAGAGAGTTAGACAATGACTAAGGATGACAGAAGAATAGATGCCTTCAAGTTGTGGTGTTGGAGAAGAGTCTTGAACATACCATGGACTGCCAAGAAAACAAACAGGTTTGTCTTGGAGAGGGTGAAACCAGGTCTCTCCTTGGAGGCTAGGATTTTGAGGCTCCACCTCACTTACTTTGGGCAAGTGGCCAGGAGAGATGGTCCTTGGAGAAGGGCATCATGCTCGGAAGGGTGGATGGACAGCGCAGGAGAGAGGGCTAGGATGAGATGGATTGATATAGTAACTGGGTGATGGGGGTTGGTGTGTCAGAATTAGTGTGACTGGCTCAGGACAGGGAAGGTTCCTGCTGTACATAGGGTTGCTGTACATTGCAAGTGACTAAATGGTATATAAACACATACTATGACACATTTGGAAGCAGGAGTGGCATCCACTTCCTAAATAACATGCCTCCGGAAACCCTATGAATGTCGATAAGTGTCGATAGTTTTAGAGGGGCTTCAGGCCTTTTGTTCAGAGGATCGCTGTGAGTCCTGCTGGATTGGAAGGCAATCAACAACAATAGCAACAACAGTAGTCTGAAGTGACTCATAGCTGACCCTTCAGTAGGTTTCTCAGAAGAAATTGCCTAGTTTTTTTTGGTCCCCGCCCCCCTCCCCATGGAGCAGTTGGTGAATTTGGATCGCATGCGTTTCAGTTGGCAGTGAAACTCTTCACCACTAGGCCAACAGAGTGTGTATAAACGGTTGAAGGAAAAAGCAATCTGCTTTGTAAACACGGTATCTCTCTCTCCCCTCCCCTCCTTATTTGTAAAAGTATCAATCTTTGAGAAACATGAAGAGTCACACTGAGTGCCTACTACATATTGAAAATAGATTATGTAATTTAATTGTCATAAAACGCTTATGAAGCAGGTAATATCAATTGTTGTTGTTGTTGTTGTTATGTGCCGTCGAGTCGTTTCCGACTCATAGCGACCCTATGCACAACAGCCCTAAACCCTGCTCTATCCTGC